AATTAAAATAATATGTAGCTTGTGTTTGACAAACAGAAAATTATCAGTTTAACATATTTTTAATAAAATACCTGAAAAAATTAAGGGAAATTAACACTTTTTTCTTTCATTTTTCTAAACGCCAAATGTATCTCCAATTATAGAATCACTCATACATGTAATTTACTTCAAGACAGTCTTTTATTCCCTTTTTTAGCATGTTGGTACTTTTAGCATCTAAATAGCCTCATGATAATTTCAGATGGTGTAGCATTACGTTTAGCTTTTAGTTAGCCTTTTGTTATTTTAAGCTAGTGTTTATCTTATTTTGTGTTTTATGTTTTTTATACTTTTAGCTTCAGAAACCATATTTCTCTGCTTTGATCTGCTTCCTGAGACACRAGAGATAACTCAGAACATTCTGAGAACAAAATGTTATTAATTTAATTTTGTTTCTGTTTTTTATGTTCAGAAATGTCAAGAACTTAATTATCACAGCACTCAGCTGCTTTTTTCAGCTTATTGTTGTGCTTTTCAGGGAATTTAACCTATTTTAACCACACTCATGAAATGAATTGTGATTTGTTTTTAATTAAAACGCCCTCATTACTGTGATGAGTCAAAATCGCTGTTCTGCTCTTTTTGTTTTAGTTTTCCACAAAAGAAAAGAAAAATTAAACTGAATCAAACTGACAAATCTGACAAAACTCAACAAGACAAAGAAGTTGCTTATCCAGAAAAGTGCATGGTGAAATTAAAAAAGTAATTAGTTTGGCTTCTCAGAGACGTCTGACATAACAGCTCGTCTGTTTATCAGATTCAATCTTCTGTTGCAGCAGAAATCTTTAAACCTCATCTCCAAACGTCCTGCATGTGACGTGATGAAGCCTGGCAGGAGTAAACGTTGTTTTACCACCAGGATGATCTTGTTCTTGGAGCGAGCAGCTTTGTGGAGACCGGTCATGCCATCTTTGGCCCTGAAGTCCAGGTGAGCTCCTCCGTTCYTCAGGACCTTGATCATCTCCACCATGTTGTCCAGGTGAGACGCAAACGTCAACGGACTCTCTGCAAAAAGGACGACACAAGAAGACAAGTCTCAAACATCTGGAAGAAAGATCAAGAAGAAACATTGATTTTAAAAACTGCTTCAGTGAAGGACCTGTGGAGGACCTACGATGGGCCAGTGAAGGATCTGTGATGATCAACATGTCTTCTAAACAACCACCTCAGCCCATAAATCACAACAGCAGATGTTGGGGTAGAAACTGATCCAACTCAAAGTTCTGCTGCTTCATCCAGGTATTTTTCTACCAGATAAAAGATCAATCTGAGCATCTGAAACCAGACTTTGGTCTAAACTTCTGAACATTGTTTTATTTTGCATGTTCCAAAGTTGAAATAGAAAATAAAATGTGCAAATAACAATGAAAGATTACACCAGGCCTGAATAGAATCAAATCAGTATCTTCATGTTTAACAAACTGTTTCTGATTCCTGCAGTTTAGCTGCAGATTTATAACTCTACAAAGTTTCATTTGACCTCTTTCAGTTCAAGTCTTTTCCTGTTTCTCACTAATTAAAGCAGATCAGGTTCATTAGAGGTGCAGAAAGTTTGAATTGATTGAAACATCACTGAATAATTCAAAACAGGGTCATCAAAACAAGACACTTACAGTCAAGAGCTGTGCCCCACTTTCACTCTCTATTTACTTTTTCTGCTGATTTGGAACCATTAACATAAAAACACTAAACCAAACAAACTCTGATTAAAATAATTAAAACGGTTCATTTTCAGCTGAACTGTTCCAGATTTCTGTCAGAGGTATTTAACTCACAGATACTGATCCAGACTTTAAAGTGATGCATGTGTGGTTTTATTTCCACAGGTTGGGTTAATAAACTAAAGCAAAGAGAAGCTGCAGAAATACAAAAGAAAGGTGTGTGTAAACAGGTGAGTAAAGCATGTTTCATCAGTAAGTGAACAAATCTGCAGGAGCTGAAATATGAGTTGTGTTTGTGTGGAGAAGCTGTTTGTGCTCCTGCACGCAGCAGAAAAATCCTCTGAAAGGTTAGAAGATAAGAGCAACAGACTGAAGCAGCAGGAAGAAAAGAAAGATTTGATATTTATTTAGAAGATCACATGAAACTCCTTCAGTTTGTAGCCAAAAGGAAAAKTGGGGTGTGCAGACGGCCTCTCTCACCAATCAGCTCTTCTTTTAACAATSCTTCTCAGAGCCAATTAGGAAAACTTCCATCTAATGGTTCTTCCTCCTCCTGTTCCCCCTTCATCTTCCTCAGTGGACCACATTATCCTGACAAAGCCCGGTCCATTCACAGCCCAGATAAAGCACATCTGCGGTGCCGAGATCCTCTCGACACTTTTATTAACCGGTCATAAATAAAGCTAATTATCAGCTTGGTGCTCAGCTGCAGTCAATAACACTTAAAGCAGYACTTGTTAACAAACCTCTGCAGTAAGCTTTTAAACACCAGCTGCTCCAGGAGAACAACATAACCAAACCAATGTTTCACCGTGTGAAGTTAATCCCCTCGTAGCTCAGTCAGGAAGGAGGGATTTATTCCCCTCGTTTGAAAAGATAATGGAGCAGTGTTTTTATCTGAAGGAGAGTCTTTACAGGCTGATTGGTTTCTCCAGATAAAACCTGGGTTTAACGACAGCAGAGCTCCAAACCTGGTCCGTCTCTCTGAGTTCAGTGAGACCCCTGAGTTTTRGGTCAATCCTTTGATTTGCTGACTCCCAGCGGTCCGATGGAGTTCAGGTTGATCAGAGCTGCTTCACTGCAGACATGAAGCTCCTGGGTCATAAATTAGATTCTGTTTTTATGATGATCCAGCAGAAAAACAAGAAAACCACTGCTCAGACTTTAACAGTTTAATCATGGTTCAAAATCAACAGAATTTCAGGTTTCTGTTTGTGTTGAGCAGAACCTGTTGTTCTGATGGGTCACCTGATTCTCCACAGCAGGTCAGGACCAGACAACAAGTCTTCATCAAACCAGGTTTCCTTCAGCAGGAATCTGCATGCCTGCAGAGACACATGTCTCAGAACCTTCATCATGAGGAGGTTCACCTGCTGGACCGGTTACATCATCACCTCTGACATCACCTGCTGGACCAGGTTACATCATCACCTCTGACATCACCTGCTGGACCAGGTTACATCATCACCTCTGACATCACCTGCTGGACCAGGTTACATCATCACCTCTGACATCACCTGCTGGACCGGTTACATCATCACCTCTGACATCACCTGCTGGACCGGATAACATCATCACCTCTGACATCACCTGCTGGACCGGATAACATCATCACCTCTGACATCACCTGCTGGACCG